TTTCAGCCTCCTGCACCATTCGCTCGATGTCATCTATCGACAAACGCCCCTTGTCGTTCGTGATGGTGATCATGTTCTGTTTACCAGTGCTCTTGTCCACCACAGAAACGTTCAATATGCCGTTTGCATCAATATCGAACGTCACCTCGATCTGGGGAACACCACGTGGAGCAGGCGGAATACCAGACAACTCGAACTTGCCCAGTAAATTATTGTCACGTGTCATAGCACGCTCACCCTTGTACACCTGAATCAACACACCAGGCTGGTTGTCCGAATAAGTGGTGAACGTCTGGGTCTGCTTCGTCGGAATAGTCGTGTTCCGCTTGATCAATGCAGTCATCACACCACCGGCCGTCTCCAAACCCAACGACAACGGAGCAACATCCAGCAGCAACAAATCCTGCACCGCCTCGTGCTCATGAGCCATGTCAACCATAAAGCCTGCTTTAATTATGTCCAGTCCAAAGCCACAATTAGAGTTGCGGTGGGCAACGTCCAAAACGAGGACGGAGTTAGCGCCGAATCGAATGCTGAAAAGGCGGACATTTTCCACCGATATTTCGAAAGGGTTCACCAACCGGATAGAGGGGGAAACCCTCAAATCCTTTTAGAGCGGGAAATACCCACAATGGCGGATGTCGTCACCGAAGACGTTGTGAGGACCCAACTGCAAGCGCTGAAGAGCACCTAGGCAGCGGGACCCAATGACATCCACCCGGCCCTCCTAAAACCACTGGCTGGAGTGCTTGCAGCACCGCTAGCAAAGTTGTTTAACAAATACCTTCAGGAAGGGCGGCTGCCGGAGGCTGGAAGGTGGCGAAGGTTTTCCCCATATACAAGGGAGGGGACAGAAACCAGGCAGCCAACTATCGGCCAGTTAGCTTAACCTCGTTATCACTAAGAATATTAGAAAGGCCACTGAGGGACAAGGTGGTGGCTTATGTTGCGCGCCACCATCTGCTAACAGCTAGCCGGCATGGGTTTGTGAGGAGGAGATCATGTCTCACGAATCTACTGGTGTTTTTAGATGAAATCACCTACAGGCTGGATAGAAGGGAGAGGGTGGAGGTCTGCTAATTGGACTTCCAAGAGGCCTCTGACTCAGTAAACCACAGGCTACTGCTCCTTAAATTTAGGACATTCAAAATTCACCCGAAACTGATTGCATCAACGGAAGACTTACTGAGAAGATCTTTCCATGTGAATATAAGTGTCCAGATCGAGGGCAGGCAAGATAGCAAGTGGAGTTCCACAGGGATCAGTTTTAGGCACTTTCCTATTCCTAGCCTATGTAAACCACTTACCAGAGAGGTTGAAGAACCCAGTTTACATGTTCGCTCACGACTTGAAACTCGTAGGTTCCCTCTCAAACCAGTCCATACAGAAAGATTTGGATACCCTCATACGCTGGACTGAAGACTGGGAGCTACCGCTCGACGTGACCAAGTGTAGACAGCTCACACAGACTGAAGGCACAAGCTCGATGCGATGGATTAACACTGATAACCCAGTGGAACTCCGAAGGAGTGAAGAATTGAGGGATCTGGGAATTCAGGTCACCAGTAGTTTTAAATCAGAGAAACAGTGTCCACAGGCGGCAAATAACGCCCTGTACCAACTACTGAGAACAGTTGTCTCGCGGGATCCAGAGGTGTTGTTACTCCCATATAAAGTCTATGTGAGACCACACTTAGAATACTGCGTCCAAGTGTGGTCGCCATACCTGGAATGGGACAAGAAGGTCCGAGAGACAGTACAACGTAGGTTTACGAGATGATTTCCCCATCTCAGGGGGCAAGACTACCCAACTCGTTTGTCTATGCTGAACCTATTCTCCCTGAAGAGGAGGCGCTTCAGGGTGATTTGATTGAAGCTTTTAAGAGCATAAAAGACATTAGTGATACGGGTGCTCCATTGTTCACTGCCAATGACACCGTGGTATTACGTGGACACTCTTTGAACTTGGCAAAAGAGCGTTCCATGTCCCTCCCGAATAGACCAACGCAATCGGATCCCAAAACGTCAACAAAACGAACGATTAAGCTAGTTTCTACTGTACTGCATTAATAGACCATCAAATAAGCAAATAAACGAACGACCCGGCAAATTTCTACGGTACTGCATTAATAAGCGATCAAATAAGCAAATGAAAACAACCTCAAAGTGATCTCGAAACAACTTGAAAACAAGAGCCAAGTGTTACTGTGAGCGTAATGCAACCCTCAAAGTGATCTCGAAACAACTTGAAAACAAGAGCCAAGTGTTACTGTGAGCGCAATTCAACAATTTCTACGGTACTGCATTATTAAACAATCAAATAAGCAAATAAAAACTGTACAAACCTAAAGTGATCTCCAAACAACTTGAAAACAAGAGCCAAGTGTTACTGTGAGCGTAATTCAACAAATCCGAATGGAAGAAAATGAGCCAGGGTAAGAACAGCACGCTCACCGTCACGCTGCACATGAACGAGCCAAATGTCAGCGCTCAGGTCGCGATTTAAACAAGTAGGGTACGAATGAAGCAGATAAACAAACAAAGTCAAATAGTATGATCGATGTGTAAATATACAAAGGTATTGGAATGCCAAATGTTCATGTATTGTGAGGCAAATGTTGTTGAGTGAGCGGAACGTGACATTCACGAAATGTGGAACCGAGATAGATTGACTGGGTATACAGGAAGGATTTTCATAGATTGATCAATACATTCCAGACTAGAAGTTCGAGCACAGTTTCTAACAAACTGTGTGGTGAACAGCTGGAACAAACTCCCAGAAGCAGTGATCACAACAACGAACGTGATAAGCTTCTGGATGACTGGAGGACTGCTGGCTGACTGTATTCCCTAATTTGCAGTAATCAGTGCGAGGTGAACCATAGGCCATCCGGAGAGTCCCAATGTGAAAGTTAGTCTTATATCTTGTTTAGTTTTTCCTTTCCATATCATCCTTCAGGTCCGTGACAAATAAATTTTCTTTCCTTTATGAGGTGAAACTCTTACTATCTCCTAGTCTTGACTTACACATTATAATTACCCACCGGTAGAGCTTGTCTGGCTTGAGTTTCTCGCATAGAAACCAGTTCAGGCGATGACCATTTGTTGACTGGAGCCTACTAATATTACCGATTGATCCTTCAAACATCTCATTTACACATGTGCCCGTCATTCAGAAACCAAAGTGAAGGATCAAGAAATTCTCCTGCAGTCGAAGCAAAGTAAGATCGCATCAGAGCTCACAACTGCAAAGGACTGGAGGCATTTTCATCAGCCGCAAGTCCTGCGAATCCCACCTAACCTGCCCTGAAGGCCAGAGGGATAAACGATATGCGGAAACACTAGAGGCTCGAGGGCTTTTCTCATTAGAAAGAAGGAGACTGCGAGGGAACCTGATAGAAACCTTCGAAATCATGAAGGGAATATCGGGGATAGTAGCCGACAGTCTCTTCACATTAGCTCCCCAACACGGCACTAGGGGTCATGAGCTCAGGCTCATGAAGCGGAGATATCGACTAAACATGAGGAATCACTTTTTCAGCAATAGGATAGTTGACAGTTGAAACCGGCTTCCCAAGGAAATTGTCGACCTCCAAACAGTGCAAGCATTTATGGCTGCACTCGATAAGAGATGGGTAGAACTATTCCCATCTCTGGCAGTGTAGACGAGTGTAGGTGTGCCGATTGTTAGGATGCCTTTTCTCTTTTTCACTGGCACACATCATGGAACGCTCAACGTAGCTAAGTGTCAGGTTCTACCAGCAGAAGGTGAACTTGGCATACAGAATGAAATCCAGCTTAAGAGAGAGAGAGAAGTTAAGGATCTGAGAGTAATTATACCCCACGACTTC